CGATGAAGAAGAACGTCGTGACATTAAAAAGTTTCGTAAGTTTGCCCGAGATGAACGACGAAAACAAAGGATATTTTCTTCCACCGCAACTGCATCAGAGACCTCAACACCAGAAACGTGAGTAGAAAGTTTGGTTTCGAATCTTTACAACGAAAAGTATTTTTATCGGATGGATAGAACTTTAGGTYTGTTTAACAATTCTAAGAGTCTTGAGAATAAGTTTGGGACCTCCTATCTTTCCTTTGCCCAGTCTCCTCTCTTTAATTCATTTCCACGCCCCATATTGATTAGAGCAAATTTTTTTCATAGAAAACGAAGTACGATACAAAAAAAACCAACAGAACAGAAAACTTACTTCACGATAACAGAACAAGAAAGAAAGATAACGATAGAAAAACAAATAACGAATGATACAAAGCCACAACAAAAACAAGAAACTAAAACAGAAAGAAAAGAAAAAGGAAAAATGTCACAACTGAAAAGAATGGGATGGAAGAGACGACTAACGCCAAAAGAAGCTAAAGAACAAGCGCAAAAGAAGAAACTTGCTCGTCAATTCAAAGGAGTGAAACGGGAACAGTTGGCTGGTCTTACTGTGGATCGACTGACCGCGTATGGACTGAGGAAGAAGAGGAAAGTTTCAGACTAATATTAACCACAATTTGATTATTAATGAATAATTCTGTGTTCGCCATTTCCACATTCCATAATACTTTACATTGTGGGAGTTAACCGATCAAAAACTGGCATAAAATTAAAGATTCATTCATCGAATGTACGCTATACCGGCTTTTGTTTTTAAAATACTGATTTTGGTCCTGCGTTAGGAGACTAAGTTTCACCTAGAGTCCTTTCTATCTTCCATAATACTTTACATCGTGCATTGGTGGGTAATTGATCAAAATCTGGCTTAAGATTAAAGGTTCATTAGTGCGAATGTACGCTATACCTGCGTGTCAACACCAAACTGGATGCAAGGGGGACCATGTTTTCACTTGACAATCCTTTCCATTAATGAAATGCGATTGAATAGACCTCTCTACCTTGAGCCTAATGTTTTCCTATTTCAGACCACGCGTCATTACTAGGGTATTGCGGTTTCTTTGTCTAACGATTGTTCGTGAGAAGACACAAACCAAGAATCTTATTCTCAAGAGGATGACACGTGGTCTCGAATGGGAAACGCCCAAGGTACAAAAGTCTATTCACGCAACATAAAGAGAGTAAAACTGATCTAAATAATAAGAGAGACAAGTGAGCGAGGAAGAAAGGAAGGTCAGGACGATTTGGGAAATCCGACGCAAATACTGGAACTGAAACAAAATCCAAGAACTGAGCTACTTTCCAGAAATCAAGTCCTCCATTCTCTAGCAAAAGTTTGCGTCTCTTCCAGACCTCTTTAGGACTTTTGGTGATAGACATGTGGTCCTTGTTTCATTCCTGATCGATAAGATCTTTAATTTGGCGAGAATTGACGGTAATGTTTGTGGAGGATTAAGGAGTTTTCGGCCGGTTAGACTCTTACTGAGCATCTCGCTCGGCGGAGCGAGAGATTATTGAAGAGTCTGTTTTTGCGTTGGGTTCATTATCATAAAATGATCCTCTATAAAGATGTCTTTAAAACGCACAGAAAAGAAATAACAAATATGTAGACTATATTTTGACACGGAAATCTTTCTCGCTTATTTTATACGGTAAATTTGAGCTAATTGTCCACAACATCTAACCTAGCCAACAAAATACTGAGCGTGGTAACCCTGTGTCCTAATTTATGCGTTCATAGCGTGACTTCATTTCAAGGAATTTTTAAAAGGGTCACGCTCATTTCCAAGAATCGGTCTCAATAGATTCACAAACAACATTCTTCAGCCAACTCCCTCAACTCTCGCCAACATGGAATCGTTTGTGGACGATCTTAAGAAGGAAGTCCAATGTTCTTTGTGTAATGATACATTTACAGAACCCAAGATCTTGTCTTGTTTCCATACATTTTGTAAACCTTGTATTCAAAGACACGCCGACCTGATAGACGAAGTCAACGTCTTCAAGTGTCCTCGATGCAAATTACCAACTTCTTTACCAGAACCAAACAGCGTCGAAGATCTACAGCCTAGTCTACTTCATACAAGAATCTTGAAGGGTCTGGCGTTGGTAGAAGGAGAAAAGATTTGTTCTGTTTCCGAGAGCCATTCTCCAGCATCTTGGTATTGTTTTGACTGTGATCGCTCGATGTGCGAGGAATGCGAGAAGAACCATTCAGAGTTTACCGAAGATCACAAGGTCRTTCGTCTGGCTGATTTGAAGAAAGAAGATATTGAGTTCGTAATAACAAGAGAAAATCCTTGTAAAAGTCACCCTCATCACAGGCTAGAGTTGTTCTGTGAAGACTGTGATGACATGATTTGCTTTACATGCTTCAAACACGATCACCGGAAACATGAGATAATATCATTAGATAAGTTTGCTTCAATCAAGAAAGCTGTATTGTCAAAGCATCTGCAGGTACTAGTGCAGTTGAGATTAGATGACAAGGAAAAGCAGCAACAAGAAAAGATTGCTAACACTATCAAACAACAGGGAGAAAAGGCAAAAAAAGAAGTCAAAGAAAAAACCAAGAAGATCATCCAAATTCTACAAGAAAATGAACGAGAATTACTGAGACAAATCGATGAGAAGTTGGAAACAGTTACAACAACCTTGAACATAATTCATCATATTCCAACCGTCAAGGAATACATCAAGAATGTGATGGAAAGAGGACTGGCAAGTGAAATGATGGATATTCAAGAGACACAATGTTCAGAGAAATTTATCTTCAACCGCATTCCACTTTCCTCTCGAGTTGAGTTCGTTCCTAACGAACAGCTGGTGCAAGAATTGAATTCAGGGCTGGGAGGAATACGAACTTGTTCCAAAACAGACCATACGAAGAGCACTATTGAGGTGAAATCTGAGACAGAAGCTTTAAAGAAAGGAAAGCTAATATGCACAACTAAAACCTCGACAGGAGAACTCATTTCTGATGCAATAGATGTTATAGACGTTCAAATCAAGCCTGAAGAAAATGTGAAACTAGAAAAGAAATATGTGAGAACTGATGATAAAGTAGAGGTTGAATTCATGGCTAGAGTACCTGGTCAGTTGACAGCAGAGGTTCAAGTGAATGGGAATCGTGTATCTAACAGTCCACTAGTGGTAAATGTCAAGCCACGAGAGATGAGAACAACAGGACAGTTTCACACGAAAGTTATAAATATAGGTTCTAGTTATTTGAAAGGTATAGCAGTAAACAGAGACAATAGCAGGATCGCTGTTGCCAATTGTTCTTCTGACTGTGTCCATGTATTCACCACTGATGGAGATCTCTTACTGACGTATGGTAGCCAAGGTAATGCAAAGGGACAGTTGTCTAATCCTATGGGTTTAGCATTTCTGAATGATACAGATTTAGTCATATCACAGAATGTTAATAATAGAATATGTATAGTGAACACTACAACAGGGACATTGGTAAAAACCTTTGGTAACCATGGTAACAAGGATGGAGAGTTAAGTAATCCATGGGGAGTACACGTTGATGACGATGGTAACATCATTGTGTGTGATCGTAGTAATTATCGTGTTCAAGTCTTCACAAGAGACGGTGACTATCAATATCAGTTTGGTTTGACAACACAGGACAAGTTTACTCCATTTGATGTGATAACACATGATGGACTGTTTTATGTCAGTGATCATAATAATCACGTTATTCAGGTATTTGAGAAGAAAGGTAACGTACCGACTAGAATATCGACGATTGGTGGTCAAGGCAGTGCTGATGGTCAGCTGAATGGACCATTTGGCCTGGCTATTGATAATGACCATCATCTACTGGTGTGTGAGTATGGTAATAAGCGAGTACAAAAATTCACATTGGATGGTCGTAGGTTTGTAGGAAAGACTTGTGGTGTAATCAACAACCCTGAATTTATAACTGTTTTAAAGGATGGTCAGTTACTAGTCAGTACGTGGGGTTCTGGTGTTTGGAGTGTAAAGTAGAAATGGTTATTATTAATGTCTATATAGACATTAATAATAACTATTACAAAGGTTTTAACAGGAATTTGAGGAAAAGGGGGGTAACTGTTACTAATGACATACTGAGAAATTTAATAAAAGAGGGTGCCTTGTCACCCCTTTAACCACCCCTGGATTCGCCCCTGATTTATTGCTTTAGAATAACAAAGCAAGTTATAATCTGACGAGCGACAACGAAAAAGATTGTAAGATTGTTTTGATTTTGAATGAAGAATAAATATTTTACACTCGAACGTTTTCCTTTGTAATTGGATGCAACTAAGAGTTTTTGTCTTTTGTTGTTGTTTGTGTTGTTGTTTATATGAGTCATTAAATGATATACAAGAATAGTCTGATCTTGACTGGGTTTATTGCTCGTAAGGGACCATTTTCTTACCGGGGAGGGAGGGTAGGGGAGGTAGTGGTATTTGAGAGTTTGGGAATCATTAAAAAACAGTTTCATCACGTTGTTAGCCTCAAGAAGAGAATATGAAGTAGCGTGTTTCGTTCAAAATAATTATGTCGATTTGGCTCTACACGGGCATAGTTTAAAGGCTAAACTTTATTTGCACAAACCAGTCCAATACCACGAAAAAACAGGCTAGGGAAAAGGCCCGGTGAAACCTAAAATTTCCAAAGCTAATATTACAATGTATAAAGGGAAATAAAATAGGAAAACAGTACAGAAAAATCACCGAATTGACACCACGGTATACAAGTACGGCACACTACTTCAAGCACATGTAAAACATATACCGCGCAAAGGATTGCGGGACATTTATGCAGAAAACGTAGAATAGAAACATAGGAACGCGGGAACTCCGGAATACCCTTGTTGAGGATTAGCCTCAACAGGATATGTGACGTCATCAAACAAAAAGACAGGCCATCCTTTAATAATCACAAGAACCACTAAAATCGGCCGCACAAATTCTTGGAGTGCGTGTTACGTCATAGCCGCCATGTTGGTTGACGATCACAAAGCATTCTTCATTAAATTCTCTTGTTAGATCAACCACCATCGCGGCTGTTTTGTTGTTATTTATATCTCGAGGGGTTTTGAGTTATGTGGTTACACTTCAAGAATAATCAAATCCTCCTGAATCTGCCTCAAAAATAACCTAATCTTTCTAAAGAATGAAAAATCCATCAGTCTAAAGTCTTGCCCGTACTGCCTGAACACGTCTACTGGCATGACTAACTCTTCACTTGTTTCGCAGATGGATGCTGATTACGACCCCAGCATGGAAACACAGCAACCAAAAAGGAACCGAAAAAATCCATCCTCCAAATTAACTCG